TGTGCTGTGCAATAATACCCTGCATATTTTATAACTTATTCAATTCATATAATAATGAAATAGCGGAACGTCGGGGGGCAATATGCACACGCATATACATGTATTTGTGGGAAGTATTATGAAAGGACATGGTCAGACATATCGGGTGGACAAGTCTAATGTGTATCGGCACCGGCAGTATAAGCCGACCAACCGCAATCTACTCGATCACCACGACATTGCCGTATATCGGTTGGACAAAGACATTGAGTTTCAGGTGCTATATATACACTATAAGTCTCGGTATATGTCTCGGTATATGTCTCGGTATATGTCAAACACCATATGTTTGCCAAAACAAAAACTATTTATCGATCGCAACGGCGTTGAAGTGAACCCGCATTTGTTGGACTCGGAAACGCCGGCCACAATGTATGGCTGGGGTCAACGCTATGGTAATCCCCCAGACGATAGCGATATTATATGGGACCGACTTTGGGACTATAAGGAACGCCTTCAGAGAGCAGAGATCACTCTGGAGCGGGAGCTGAAGAAATGGCGGTGGCTTTTGTGCGCGGAGATCAGGCACTGGCCGTTCAACTCTGTTTGCGCTGTGCGTGTGTTTTGTATTTTACATTAATTGTTTATTATGAATATAATTGTCAATTGATTATTAGGTGGATTCCGGGGCGCCGTTGGTTCAGTACACTAACACTGACCGCACTAGAGCTGTGCTCATAGGGATTACGACTGGAATACTATGCGCTACAAACGCACATATATTGGTGTGGACTCCCGTTTCCGTATATATCGATGACATGATAAGTATCATTGAAGCCGTCGACAAAGGAAAGCCAGTCCCATAGCATCCATTTAAATAGCATTTGCATGTTTTCAATACAAATATTTTCTATATTTGATTATAAATAATTATAGTAATATTTGTGTGTTTTTCCCATTATTAATATAACTGTTTTTATTTATCAAAATTCGTGTTTCACTAATTTTTCTGTAATTATCAATAAATGTAATATTTATTAAATTTTTTAGTATGGAAAAATTGAGATGTAATTTTGATTTAAACACATTAACACACTTTTTTACAAAACTAATGCAATTATTCAATTAATATAACCTGTTATAACTCGTGGATAAAATGTAAAAACTCATTATTAGAAATGACAAGTGATTTAATGTTTGATTTAATAATTAACCGTTGATTTGAAAATTGATTAAATGATATATACATTGTATACACAATTTCCTAACATTTATACGTTTTAAAGCAATATGTTTTCAATGTATATATATTTATCTCATTTAATCTCATATCACTGTAAGTGAATCCCTAATCCATAATCAATCCAATTATACAATGATTTTTATAACTAAATGTGCAATAAATTAGGTGTTGTGTCGATGTTTTGGGAAATTGGTTACTATCCAAACATTAGTGATAAAAATTGTGGTCTGAGATATGCCCCACAAAAAGTGCCCATCAATTACCCGATCAAATGTTTCGCAAACAATATCAATAACCAAACGGCTGATGACGTTTACGGTGACGCCGACCGTACAAATGGCGGCCAAACCGTCAATATATCGGGCATTAACTTCAAGGACTGGGCTTTGGATACAGAGTTAGGAGAATTTCCTTTCATTGTAAACATTAAATATAGTAATGCTAGCCTTTCGTTCGGCTCCGAGTGTACGGGTGTTATCATTAACAAGCGTTGGATAATGACTGCAGCCCATTGTAACTTTAAGTATGTCATATGCTGTGCACAATACCCAAGATATTTTATAACTTATAAAATTTATATAATAATGAAATAGTCAACAGTCATTGGATAATCTAAATTTATACACGCATATACATGTATATGTGGGCAGTATTTGGAAAGGACGTGGTCAGACATATCGGGTGGACGAGTCTAATATTTACCGGCACCGACAATTTACCAACTTTCTTAATCCTTACACACTTTATGAACCCTATTCCTACGATATTGCCGTTTATCGATTAGACAGAGACATGGAGTTCGATGTGCTGTACCAATACAAAGAGTCTCCATATATGGCAAACACCATATGTTTGCCGAAACAAAAACTATTTATCGATCGCAACGGCGTTGAAGTGAACCCGCATTTGTTGGACTCGGAAACGGCGGCCACAATGTATGGCTGGGGTCAGCGCTATGGCGTAACCCTAGTAACGCAAGAGGGCGATTATAGGGACCACCTTCAGCGGGCAGAGATCACACTGGAGGGGGATCTGAAGAAATCTCGGTGGTTTTTGAGCGCCGATGACAAGAACTTGAGGCAATTTTGTCATGTACGTGTGCTTTGCATTTTACATTCATTCTATGTTATAAATATAATGGTCAATTAATTATTAGGTGGATTCCGGGGCGCCGTTGGTTCAGTACACGCACATTGACCGCAACAGAGCTGTGTTGATCGGCATTACGACTAATTATTTATGCTATAAAGGCCTACATTTAGTAGTGTGGACTCCAGTTTCCGTATATATTGATCACATGATGAGTATCATTGAAGCCGTGGACAACGATCCCTTTAATACAAATATTACTTTAATTTGATTATAAATAATCATAGTAATATTTTTTTGTTTTTCTCATTATTAATATAACTGTTTATATTTATCAAAATTCATGTTTCATTAATTTTTCTGTAATTATCAATAAATGTAATATTTATTAAATGTTTTAGTATTGATAAATTGAGATATAATTTTGATTTAAACACATTAACACACTTTTTTACAAAACTAATGCAATTATTCAATTAGTATAACCTGTTATAACTCGTGGATAAAATGTAAAAACTCATTATTAGAAATGATAAGTGATTTAATGTTTGATTTAATAATTAATCGTTGATTTGAAAAGCAATTGATTAAATGACATATACTGTTTACACAATTGCCTAACATTTATAAGTTTTAAAGCAATATGTTTTCAATGTTTATATATTTATCTCATTTAATCTCATATCATTGTAAGTGAATCCCTAATCCATAATCAATCAAATTATACAATGATTATTATAACTAAATGTGCAATAAATTAGTTGTTGTGTCGATGTTTTGGGAAATTGGTTACTATCCAAACATTAGTGATAAAAATTGTGGTCTGAGATATGCCCCACAAAAAGTGTTTATAAATTACCCGATCAAATGTTTCGCAAGCGCTGTCAATAATCAAACCATTGATGATGTTTACGGTGACGCCGAGCGAATAAACTACGGCCGAGCCGTTAGTATATCGGGCATTAACTTAAAGGACTGGGCTTTGGATACAGAGTTAGGAGAATCTCCTTTCACTGTAAACATTAAATTCAGTGATGTTAGCCTTTCGTTCGGCTCCGAGTGTACGGGTGTTATAATTAACAAGCGTTGGATTATGACTGCAGCCCATTGTAACTATAAGTATGTCATGTGCTGTGCATAATACCCTGCATATTTTATAACATAGAATTAATATAATAATGAAATAGTGAAACATCAGCGGGTAATCTATACACGCATATACATGTATATGTGGGCAGTATTTGGAAAGGACATGGTCAGACATATCGGGTGGACGAGTCTAATATTTATCGGCACCGACAGTTCAAGCCGAGCCAAATCAATCCCTACGATATTGCCGTTTATCGGTTAGACAGAGACATGGACTTCAATATACCGTATCAATACAAAGAGTCTCGATATATGGCAAACACCATATGTTTGCCAAAACAAAAACTATTTATCGATCGCAACGGCGTTGAAGTGAACCCGCATTTGTTGGACTCGGAAACGGCGGCCACAATGTATGGCTGGGGTCAGGTTAAACGCTATGCCTTAAGCGATGTAAGGTATGGTAGCGATTATATGGACCGCCTTCGCAGGGCAGAGATTACACTGGAGTGGGAACTAAACAAATGTGGGTGGTTTTTGTGCGCGGAGGTCACCTACAGGCCGCTCTATTCTGTTTGCTTTGTACGTGTGTTTTTAATTTGACATTAATTTTTATAAATTATGAATATAATTGTCAATTGATTATTAGGTGGATTCCGGGGCGCCGTTGGTTCAGTACACGCACATTGACCGCACTAGAGCTGTGCTAATAGGGATTACGAATAGATTTATATGCGNGGGGCGCCGTTGGTTCAGTACACGCACATTGACCGCACTAGAGCTGTGCTAATAGGGATTACGAATAGATTTATATGCGCTAAAAACGTACAGATATTGGTGTGGACTCCAGTTTCCGTATATATTGATCACATAATCAGTATCATTGAAGCCGTGGACAACGGAAAGCCAGTCCCATAGCATTCTTTTAAATAGCATTTACATGTTTTTAATACAAATATTACTTTAATTTGATTATAAATGATTATAGAAATATTTTTGTTTTTCCCCATTATTAATATAGTTGTTTTTATTTATTAAATAGATTCATGTTTCATTAATTTTTCTGTAATTATCAATAAATGTAATATTTATTAAATGTTTTAGTATTGAAAGTTGAGTTTAATTTTTTTATTAAAAATTAAGTACTTTTCTGTGTGTGTGATAAGTTTCATAGATTGAATCAATTACTATAAAACTAAATCAAGAATAGTGTTGAAAAATATGATACATTTAAATATAATTTTGATTTAAACACAATAACACTTTTTATAAAACTAATGCAATTATTCAATTAGTATAACCCGTTATAACTCGTGAATAAAATGTAAAAATTCATTATTAAAAATGACAAGTGATTTAATGTTTGATTTAATAGTTAACTGTTTCTTTCAATTTTAAATTTATTGATTTGAAAAGCAATTGACATAAACTGTATACACAATTACCTAACATTTATATGTTTTAAAGCAATATGTTTTTAATGTATATGTATTTATTTCATTTAATCTCATATCACTGTAAGTCCTAATCTATAATTAATCAAATTATATAATGATTTTTATAACTAAATGTGCAATAAATTAGGTGTTGTGTCGATGTTTTGGGAAATTGATTACTATCCAAACATTAGTAATACAAATTGTGGTCTGAGATATGCCCCACAAAAAGTGCCCATCAATTACCCGATCAAATGTTTCGCAAACGCTGTCAATAACCACACGACTGATGACGTTTACGGGGACGCCGACAGTATAGACTACGTCCAAACCGTCAATATATCGGGCATTAACTTTAAGGACTGGGGTTTGAGTACAGAGTTAGGAGAATCTCCTTTCACTGTAGACATTAAGTTTAGTTATTTTAACGGTTCGTTCGGCTCCGAGTGTACGGGTGTTATAATTAACAAGCGTTGGATTATGACTGCAGCCCATTGTAATTATAAGTATGTCATGTGCTGTGCAATAATACCCTGCATATTTTATAGCTTATAAAATTCATATAATCATGAAATAGTGAAACGTCAGCGGGTAATATATACACACATATACGTGTAAATATGTACAGTATTTGGAAAAGATATGTTAGTACGTATCGGGTGAATGAGTCTGATATTTACCGGCACCGACAGTTTAAGCCGAGCCAACTCAGTCAACTCAATCAACACGATATTGCCGTTTATAGGTTAGACAGAGACATAGACTTCAATGTGCTGTACCAATACAATGGGCATCGATATATTGCAAACATCATATGTTTGCCAAAACAAAAACTATTTATCGATCGCAACGGCGTTGAAGTGAACCCGCATTTGTTGGACTCGGAAACGCCGGCCACAATGTATGGCTGGGGTCAGCGCTATGGCGTAAAAATAGTAACGAGTGAAACCGATTATAGGGAACGCCTTCAGAGGGCAGAGATTACACTTGAGGGGGATCTGAAGAGATCTCGGTGGTTTTTGGGCGCCGAGGCCAAGAACTTGTACTGGCGGCCATTTTGCCATGTACGCGTGTTTTGCATTTTACAGTCATTTTATGTTATAAATCTAATCGTCAATTGATTATTAGGTGGATTCCGGGGCGCCGTTGGTTCAGTACACGCACATTGACCGCAACAGAGCTGTGTTGATCGGCATTACGACTAATTATTTATGCTATAAAGGCCTACATTTAGTGGTGTGGACTCCAGTTTCCGTATATATTGATCACATGATTAGTATCATTGAAGCCGTGGACAACGGAAAGCCAGTCCCATAGCATTAAATAGCATTTACATGTTTTTAATACAAATATTACTTTAATTTGATTATAAATAATTATAGTAATATTTTTTTTTTATTTTCCCATTATTAATATTACTGTTTATATTTATCAAAATTCATGTTTCACTAATTTTTCTGTAATTTTCAATAAATGTAATATTTATTAAATGTTTTAGTATTGATAAATTGAGATATAATTTTGATTTAAACACAATAACACTTTTTACAAAACTAATGCAAGTATTCAATTAGTATAACCCGTTATAACTCGTGAATTAAATGTAAAAATTTATTATTAGAAATGACAAGTGATTTATTGTTTGATTTAATAGTTAACTGTTTCTTTTAATTTTAAAGTTATTGATTTGAAAAACAATTGACTTATACTGTATACACAATTGCCTAACATTTATATGTTTTAAAGCAATATGTTTTCAATGTATATGTATTTATTTCATTTAATCTCATATCACTGTAAGTGAATTCCTAATCTATAATCAATCAAATTATACAATGATTTTTATAACTAAATGTGCAATAAATTAGGTGTTGTGTCAATGTTTTGGGAAATTGGTTACTATTCAAACATTAGTGATAAAAATTGTGGTCTGAGATATGCCCCACCAAAAGTGCCCATCAATCACCCGATCAAATGTTTCGCAAACGCTGTCAATAACCAAACGACTGATGATGTTTACGGTGACGCCGACCGTATAGACTACGGCCAAACCGTCAATATATCGGGCATTAACTTTAAGGACTGGGGTTTGAGTACAGAGTTAGGAGAATCTCCTTTCACTGTAGACATTAAGTTTAGTCATTTTAACGGTTCGTTCGGCTCCGAGTGTACGGGTGTTATAATTAACAAGCGTTGGATTATGACTGCAGCCCATTGTAACTATAAGTATGTCATGTGCTGTGCATAATACCCTGCATATTTTATAGCTTATAAAATTCATATAATAATTAAATAGTGAAACGTCAGCGGGTAATATATACACACATATACGCGTAAATATGTACAGTATTTGGAAAAGATATGTTAGTATGTATCGGGTGAATGAGTCTAATATTTACCGGCACCGACAGTTTAAGCCGAGCCAACTCAGTCAACTCAATCAACACGATATTGCCGTTTATAGGTTAGACAGAGACATAGACTTCAATGTGCTGTACCAATACAATGGGCATCGATATATTGCAAACATCATATGTTTGCCAAAACAAAAACTATTTATCGATCGCAACGGCGTTGAAGTGAACCCGCATTTGTTGGACTCGGAAACGCCGGCCACAATGTATGGCTGGGGTCAGCGCTATGGCGTAAAAATAGTAACGAGTGAAACCGATTATAGGGAACGCCTTCAGAGGGCAGAGATTACACTTGAGGGGGATCTGAAGAGATCTCGGTGGTTTTTGGGCGCCGAGGCCAAGAACTTGTACTGGCGGCCATTTTGCCATGTACGCGTGTTTTGCATTTTACAGTCATTTTATGTTATAAATCTAATCGTCAATTGATTATTAGGTGGATTCCGGGGCGCCGTTGGTTCAGTACACGCACATTGACCGCAACAGAGCTGTGTTGATCGGCATTACGACTAATTATTTATGCTATAAAGGCCTACATTTAGTGGTGTGGACTCCAGTTTCCGTATATATTGATCACATGATTAGTATCATTGAAGCCGTGGACAACGGAAAGCCAGTCCCATAGCATTAAATAGCATTTACATGTTTTTAATACAAATATTACTTTAATTTGATTATAAATAATTATAGTAATATTTTTTTTTTATTTTCCCATTATTAATATTACTGTTTATATTTATCAAAATTCATGTTTCACTAATTTTTCTGTAATTTTCAATAAATGTAATATTTATTAAATGTTTTAGTATTGATAAATTGAGATATAATTTTGATTTAAACACAATAACACTTTTTACAAAACTAATGCAAGTATTCAATTAGTATAACCCGTTATAACTCGTGAATTAAATGTAAAAATTTATTATTAGAAATGACAAGTGATTTATTGTTTGATTTAATAGTTAACTGTTTCTTTTAATTTTAAAGTTATTGATTTGAAAAACAATTGACTTATACTGTATACACAATTGCCTAACATTTATATGTTTTAAAGCAATATGTTTTCAATGTATATGTATTTATTTCATTTAATCTCATATCACTGTAAGTCTTAATCTATAATCAATCAAATTATACAATGATTTTTATAACTAAATGTGCAATAAATTAGGTGTTGTGTCAATGTTTTGGGAAATTGGTTACTATTCAAACATTAGTGATAAAAATTGTGGTCTGAGATATGCCCCACCAAAAGTGCCCATCAATTACCCGATCAAATGTTTCGCAAACGCTGTCAATAACCAAACGACTGATGACGTTTACGGCGACGCCGACCGTACAGACAGCGACCAAACCGTCAATATATCGGGCATTAACTTTAAGGACTGGGGTTTGGATACAGAGTTAGGAGAATCTCCTTTCACTGTAAACATTAAGTTTAGTCATTTTAACCGTTCGTTCGGCTCCGAGTGTACGGGTGTTATAATTAACAAGCGTTGGATTATGACTGCAGCCCATTGTAACTATAAGTATGTCATGTGCTGTGCATAATACCCTGCATATTTTATAAAATTCATATAATAATTAAATAGTGAAACGTCAGCGGGTAATATATACACACATATACGCGTATATGTAGGCAGTATGTGGAAAGAACGTGGTCAGACATATCGGGTGGACGAGTCTAATATTTACCGGCACCGACAGTTTAAGCCGAGCCAACTCAGTCAACTCAATCACCACGATATTGCCGTTTATAAGTTAGACAGAGACATGGAGTTCCATATGATGTACTTCAAAGGCTTCAAAGAGTCTCGATATTTGGGAAACACCATATGTTTGCCAAAACAAAAATTATTTATTGATCGCAACGGCGTTGAAGTGAACCCGCATTTGTTGGACTCGGAAACGCCGGCCACAATGTATGGCTGGGGTCAGCGCTATGGCGGTACCTTAGTAACGGGTGATAGCGATTATAGGGAACGCCTTCAGAGGGCAGAGATCACACTGGAGTGGGAGCTGAAGAAATGTCGGTGGTTTTTGTGCGCGGAGGCCAAGTACTGGCCGCAATTTTGCCATGTACGTGTATTTTACATTTTACATAAATTCTGATGTTATAAATATAATGGTAAATTAATTATTAGGTGGATTCCGGGGCGCCGTTGGTTCAGTACACGCACATTGACCGCAACAGAGCTGTGTTGGTCGGCATTACGAGTAAATTGATATGCCATAGAGGGCTACAGATATTGGTGTGGACTCCAGTTTCCGTATATATTGATCACATGATTAGTATCATTGAAGCCGTGGACAACGGAAAGCCAGTCCCATAGCATTCCTTTAAATAACATTTACATTTTTTTAATACAGATATTACTTTCATTTGGATTTAAATAATTATAGTAATATTTTTGTGTTTTTCCCATTATTAATATAACTGTTTTCATTTATCAAATAGATTCATATTTTACTAATTTTTCTGTAATTATCAATAAATTTTATTAAATGTTTTAGTATTAAAAGTTGAGTTTAATTTTTTATTAAAAATTAAGTACTTTTCGGAGGGTATGATAAGTTTATAATTATTGATTGTAATTGATTGGATGTTCTCTTTGATAGTGTCCAGAGTTACCGGATTACCATATGCGGGCTAATTCAGCACAATTACTGACCCAATGGTAGAGAAGGTAACAAATGTGAGCCAATGACTGTCTGTAATGCTTGTGATGTTCTCATTTCGATCCTTTTCGATCAAATAGAACCAGAATGAGGTGAATGTGAGTATAGTTACGGCGAATACCATCACTACATAGATCTGCTTCCTCTGGATTAGTATGGTTTCGATCATGAGTTTCATCACTCGAAACAAGAGTCGATGCAATTGAAAGATTTGTGTCAATTGCATGAGACATATAAATTGTCGTAAACCGTGTGTTTGGATTATCGATTCATTTTAATTATAAAACTAAATCAAGAATAGTATTGAAAAGTATGATAAATTTAAATATAATTTTGATTTAAACACACAAGCACTTTTTTACAAAATTAATGCAATTATTCAATTAGTATAACCTGTTATAACTNGGCGCCCAAAAACCACCGAGATCTCTTCAGATCCCCCTCAAGTGTAATCTCTGCCCTCTGAAGGCGTTCCCTATAATCGGTTTCACTCGTTACTATTTTTACGCCATAGCGCTGACCCCAGCCATACATTGTGGCCGGCGTTTCCGAGTCCAACAAATGCGGGTTCACTTCAACGCCGTTGCGATCGATAAATAGTTTTTGTTTTGGCAAACATATGATGTTTGCAATATATCGATGCCCATTGTATTGGTACAGCACATTGAAGTCTATGTCTCTGTCTAACCTATAAACGGCAATATCGTGTTGATTGAGTTGACTGAGTTGGCTCGGCTTAAACTGTCGGTGCCGGTAAATATTAGACTCATTCACCCGATACATACTAACATATCTTTTCCAAATACTGTACATATTTACGCGTATATGTGTGTATATATTACCCGCTGACGTTTCACTATTTAATTATTATATGAATTTTATAAGCTATAAAATATGCAGGGTATTATGCACAGCACATGACATACTTATAGTTACAATGGGCTGCAGTCATAATCCAACGCTTGTTAATTATAACACCCGTACACTCGGAGCCGAACGAACCGTTAAAATGACTAAACTTAATGTCTACAGTGAAAGGAGATTCTCCTAACTCTGTACTCAAACCCCAGTCCTTAAAGTTAATGCCCGATATATTGACGGTTTGGCCGTAGTCTATACGGTCGGCGTCACCGTAAACATCATCAGTCGTTTGGTTATTGACAGCGTTTGCGAAACATTTGATCGGGTGATTGATGGGCACTTTTGGTGGGGCATATCTCAGACCAC